TCTCAGAAACCCTAGGCAGAGTTTCTAGGAGGTAATATCTACTAGATTGCACAGGGCTTATTGTGCCAAGAGTAGATAACTAAGACATTCATACATTTCTGGCATCTTTTTTCAGGACTTACAGTATTTATAATGCCTAGGCTTTTAAAATGTATATCTCAAGTTAAAATGTAAACCCAAGATGTAGGCAAATGTTTAATTAAATCTATAAGAATTGAATTAACAGACATACTTATAAATAACTCAAAGAACAAAACTCAAAGAATTAAAACCATTCAATATGTACAATATTCACTTCCTTGTATATAGATATCTTTTTTAATTCTCTAAATTATTGATTTTCCAAAGTGCTTAGGGAAAATGTAAATATTCTTCAGAGGGAAAAGGGAGGAAAGAGCAGAGATGAAATAACTAAAAAGGAAAGAGCCTGGCGGATGGAAGAAGATGGTGTCTAGTTGATTCACCTACTGGAGCTTCTGCTGTCAGACCAGAAAATTGGACGGTAAGGTGAAGGAGACTGGGAGGCGGAGCCCTGAAATTAGAATCAGGGAACTAAGGACTGTTCTGAACCCTGCTTTTTAAAAATTTCACTCACAAAGCAAACTGAGAACGCACTAAATCGCTCTAGGTGTGGCATGCTGGGCTCGTGGGCTCCGGCTGAGCAGCTACCAGCGCCCTTGTTTGGCAGTGAGTAGTGATTTCCTCAGGCTGAGACCCCTAAGGGGACATAATCCCAGACAGGAGGAGAACTTCTGAAAGCTAGTCACAGGACCCCACAATGGAGCTCCCTGCACTATTAGCTGCCTTAAGCTCACAGCCTGGGGATGGGGCCGATGAGTAGTCACTGATTTGGAGCAATTGAAAAGAAGTAAGGAAATTTACCTGAATCAGGTCAGGTGTGGCAGAAAATAAGCAGATACTTATAATCCAGGGGCGAATTCAGTTCCAGTTGGCCAAGAAGATAACAACCTTTTTGATAAACTGGATTTCCCCCTCTAGGGGTCAGCGTGACAACCCAAAATCAGGGGCCCCATAAGCCAAATATAAAAAAGATTGAAAAAATATTTTCTCAGTAAAAACTGCAAATTCCAGGCTCATTGTTTAACTCCAAGATTACTTGGAGAACAAGTCCTTTAACATATATTAGCATAATCAGGAAGCCTTTATTAAGGAATGCCATACTGCTGCAGGAACATCCACCCAACCTCCATGGCAATCTCTCCAACTAGGATAATTTCGTCTGCATCTACGGTGCTTACACCAAGGAGGGTACACCCGCATGCCCTCCGCAGCACTCCAGTTGTACACAGAAATACCACACGCCAATCAGGGCACTCCAAGCACCGTGAGACACACCACTATGGCTTACTGAGAGATCAGTCAGTGAAACGCCACCCTTATGGGCCGACAACCATGCAACCAACATCATGTGAGAGGGCTAATCAACTCACATTCAGAATAACAGAATACTGGTTGGCTAGGGTAAGAGTAAAACCAAAGGAAGATTCAGTGGTATCCTGTCCCCACCCAGTGTAGCTATCTGCAGGTAGTTCATAGAAGCACTCATATTAGTCACCCAAGAGAGAGCCCAGTGGTCTTTGACTCTGGAAGATGGCTCTAGGTTCCTCTAAAACAACATGTAAGCAGCAACCGACCCCAGAAGCCTCAACTAAAAATCAGGAGAAACAGAAGACAATGCCGGAAGAAGTCATGAATCTAATGACGTGCATAGAAGAAGCAGACACTGACCTGCCACAGAAAGAAATTTTCGGAATGCTGATTGGAGTCATAAAGGATATGAGGGAAGCAATACAGAAAAAGGGTGAAAGTCAACACACCAAAGTGATATACAACATTTAAGGGATGAAATAACAAAATCCAGTACCAAATTAACACACTTTGCTAACAGACTTGAGGAGGCAGAGAATCACACCAGTGACCTAGAGGATAACCAAGCAGACTTCAACAAATGGGAAAAACAGTCAAATAAGACAATCAAAGTAGCTGAAGAAAACCTGAGAGCCATGTCTGATGCTATTAAAAGGTTCAATATTCGAATAATTGGACTACCGGAAGAAGACACAACAAAGAAGTTAATAGCAAAAAAAAAACCCCACAAACCCCAAAACAATGGAATTCTTAGAGGAAAACTTCCCCAGCTTAATAAATGAAAATCAGGCAACCATTCAGGAGGCTGAAAGAACATCAACCATACTGAATCCCAAGAAGAAGTCACCAAGACACATAATAGTTAAATTATCCAACTATAAGGAAAAGGAGAAAATGATAAGAGCAACTAGGGAAAAACAAAGAGTCACTTATAAAGTTACCCAAATAAGAATATGGTCAGACCTATCAGTGGACACGATGAAGAATCAAAATGAAAGGAGTAACACATACCAAAAACTGAAGAAAATAATGCAAACCCAAGAATACTATTCCCAGTCAATACATCTATTAAGATAGATGAAGAAGTAAGAGTCTTCCCAGACAAGGAAAAACACAAAAAATAGATAAAAAGAAACCCAGCTCTACAAAAGATCCTTGCCAATCCAGTGTGGGCAGAAGATCAACACTCACTGAGCACAAATAAGAGACCATCACATAGAACAACTGCACCCATAGGACAACAAAGGGAAAATGGCCCCAAGATAGCATTAGTTCAAGAGTGGAAACAAGGCCAGAATGAAACACACACACACACACACACACACACACACACACACACACACACCAAACTGATAGGTAGGTAGGAAAACACCCAACACAAAAGGTATAAGATGACAACACAGAGTCCACAGATGGATGAATGGACTGAACTCAGGCACTAAAAGGCCAAGGCTAACAGATAACCCATCGATCTGCTCCCTACAGGAGGCACATCTCAAGCTTGCAGACTAAACCAGGTTGAGAATTAAAGGATGGAGAAAAATATACTAAGCAAATGGCAATGCAAAAAAAAGCAGGGATAGCAATCTTAATCTCTGACAAAATTGATATCAAGGTACAGGCCATAACAAGAGACAAGGAGGGGCACTATATAATGCTCACAGGAACAGTAGATCAAGAACCAGTGAACATAATAAATATGTATGTGCCCAAGACATGGACAAATATGTTGAAAAATAATCCCTTCCTAAACTATCCCAGATGGCTGTCAGGAACCTCAACAGACCCATAGCAATAGAAGAAATAGACAAGCTTGTCAAGGGATTACCAACAACAACAACAAAAATCCTCCTGGGCCAGATGGCTTCACAGGAGAATTCTATGAAGCATTCAGGGAAGACATCAATCCTACACAAACTCTTCCAGAACATAGAAAAAAGCACAAAACTCCCAAACTCTTTCTATGAAGCTCTTATAACTGATACCTAAAATGGGCAAGGATCCCACCAGAAATGACAGCAACTGACCAATATCCCTAATGAACATTGATGTAAAAATCCTTAACAAATACTGGTCGATAGAACACAAAAGCATATAAAAAATTTCACCATGACCAAGTAGGATTCATACCAGTGATGAAGGAATGGTTCAAAATGTGAAAGACGATTAGTATTATTAACCACATTGAAAGGAAAAATTATAAGAACCACATAATTTTATCGATAAATGCAGAAAAAGCATTGGATAACATCTAACACCCATTCCTGTTTAGAACACTCAAGAAGATAGGAATAGAAGGAAAATTCCTCAATATCATACAAGCTATATATGAAAAACCAACAGCTGCTAAGAATAGTCACATAAGGAAAGACTGAACTAGAACACAACCCTGGTTCTTTTTATTTTTAAGCTTGTACCAACTTGTACACAACTTGTACATAACAATACTATGGTCAAGAACTATCACATTTTATATTTATTTTACCTCTACTAGGGATGCAGAAGTGAGAAACAGAACAAACATTCTTGACCTCATAGACTGCATGTTACACTGGAAGGTATATTTAAATAAAAAGTTAAATAAACTACAGTAAAAGGTAATGAAAGTTGATGAGAAAAGCAAATGAAAACGTGCGATTTTACATTTTAAGGTAAGACTTCCAACTGCAAAAGAGCATATCAAAAATATATATTAATTTATCAGTTAAAAAAATTAAATTTCCTTAAGGATTCTACCCTCAACAAAATTCTTTGATCAAAATAATATTTTAGATAATGTGATTTCACAAGACAGTGTAATGATATATTAACTTAAGTCTTATCATTAGAATAGCCCAAGATTGAAATGGTTAAATCCCAAGTTGTTAATGGAGAGGTCTTCTTTCCAACAAAACAGTAGCCAGAAAAGACAGTGATTGCCTCTCAAAAAGATGACAGCCTAGGAAAAGCTATGGAGCGATTTTGCCCTGTCAGATACATTTATTATTAGTCAGAGTGAACTTGATGGCACACAACAAGAAGATTACATTAACAATTTCGAGAGTTTTTAGAAACTTACTATATATTATACACGTTGGATTTAGAAAAAGCACACGTCTTTCTGTCTTTTAATTCTCTTAAGTTACATTTTTAAGTGTCAAACCTTATGATTTTCTCCCATTGTACTATATTGCTGATATATAGTTTGACAAAAAACATCATAAAGATGTCACAACTTAAAATAGTATGCTGGAGTTCTATATGAGCTTCTAGAATGTGCAAAATATTTATTTTCCTAGGAACAAGTGTATAATTGCACTCTTGAAATCTAAGAAGGTAGATCATAATCTTTTAGATGTCCATGTATGTAAGTAGGCATCTAGTAATCTAGTACCCCCCAAAGTTAACATTGTCGATCTTAGTTAAGCCTTCTTTCCCATGACTAAAAATAATGTATGCAGTCTTTGCTATATAACTGCATAAAGTGGCTGCCTACTGATACAAGCATATTTGTATGGATATTATAAAATATTATCTAATTTTAAAATGCTCTTTTCTAGTCCTGAAATATATTTATATTAATAATATATATTAGTTTTAGAGACAAAAAATAATCAAAAGAATATACTTACAGGTCCAGCTAATTTAGATGCTTTCTCAAATTCCTCATCTTCCTCCATTAGGGCTTCTTCAGTTCCAGGCAAGGAATCTAATTTTATAAAAATAATAAATAAATCACAGTTACATATGGATTCTCTCTACCACTTGTGCATCAGTTTGTGTTTTGCATGTTGCTGTGCTGCCACCTGTATTTCAATACCAGCACAGTAATCAATGGCAGACAGAGGACAGTTGAATCTCCATAGTAAGACAGATAAGGAAGTAGGAAGAGGCAGACCCTCTGAAAAAATAACCATTACAAACCTTATGAATAGCAGCAGAACACTGTCTCATGCAATGTCGGTTACAAGATGTGTCTCTATGGTTCAAAGGCCCTCAAAATATGCGGAGGAAAAGTTGTTCCCACAAAGCAGAATCACTTTTAATGATGTAAGGAAAGCAACGTTGACCAGAAGATTTTAAGGGGTGACTCAAAAAGACAAGAAAATATATTGTATTGAGATGTGCAAAAATCTGGATACAGAACACCAAAAAGAAAAAAACAAAAAATGAAAACCCGGCATTTCTCAAGTCAAAAGAACTGAAATGCCTTGCTTTGTTGGGCTAATCTGCTACAAAATATCTCTCGAAAAAATTTTTTAAAGGTCTCAATTTGAAGCCTAACATATGTCTGACACAAGCCCTGGTATTTTCAATTACTTCATGTGCATGTGAAATCTGGACAGGGAATTAGAAAAGCTAATGAAAAGTTGATGTCTTTAGAATACGACGTTGGTGAGGAATATTGAATATCCATGGATTGCCAGGAGAATGAATAAATCTGCATTGGACCAAGTATGAATAAAGCACAACCTTAGAAGCCGTAAAGGTGATACTTTGCCCCATGAACTTTGAAATGCCACCAGGTGAGACCAGACTCTGAAGAACATCATACTTAGTAATGGATGAGTCAGTGGAAACAAAGAATCTCAACAAACTAGACTGACCCAGTGGCTGCAACGCTGAGCCCAAACATACCGGTAGGTGTGCTTATGAGAACGGTGCTGCAAGAGCAGTGTCACAGTCTGTTGGTGTGTATTGAAAATCACAGCATCTAACAATAATTACAACATTAGTTCTCTGATATTTAAGTGTAATTCTCTAGTATCTAAACCAATATGTAAACTTACTGTGAGAAGAGTATTAACGCTACTGAACTGGTCCTTAAAAAACATAGTTGTGAGTTAAAATTAAGTGAGGAGTGATATTTACTTATAAACTGTGGTGATCACCTTGTGTCCTTCTAGCTAATCTATAAATATTAGCCCTTTGGAATCGCCCCAAATAAACCAAGCAATAGTTACTTGTTCTATGTTCAGCCCTTGAAGCAAGGGCTGAAGAGACTTGAAACGCTGAGCCTCCTCTCAGTATCAGCACTTTGCCATTCTGAACGTCAGTTTATTAAGAGAACACCCCATGTCAAAATCAATGCAATAGATTTGTGTATATATATATATAAATAATCATAGATTTTTTCCATTGCATTACAGAGGTACATTTTAATGTTTTCATGCCACCTTAATTTTTAATGTGTATTAGGTAACCTATGACATATAACAATTAATACATGTAATCTAGATTTAAATGAAAAAGCACAATAATAAAATCAGCGTTTGAAAAGCACTACCTAATGTAAGAATTAGAGTATTTCTAATATATTTCCTATTCTGTGGTCTCCTCTTCTATCTTCTTTTGTGCCTACTGCTCTCCTGAGGACATCGGGCTCAGCAAAGTCGAGGAGCAGTGACAAAGAGGAAGCCCCATACAACATGAAATGACATGCTGGCTTCCACCTTGGACTCAGATATATAACAGTTAGTCGTGAGAGTGGCTTGGGACCTGCCCGTGTTTCGTTCTGTGGTGCATAGGGTCACTATGAATCCAATTGACTTGACAGCATCTAACAAGGACAACAACAGGTTAGAAAAATGTCCAACGTTTTATAATAAGGGGAAACTTATTTCTAAAATTATTGATACTCTACTTGTAGTGCATGAAAAGAGCCTCCTAGGCGGCTATCCCTTGGGTTGTACAGCAAGGAGATAGGAGATACGCTGTCTTACAGGGTCGCTCTCCGCCAGGATCAAGTCAGTGGCAGTGAGTAAGTCGTACATGAAGAAGCCGTGGTGGCATCCTGGGTTAAGCATTAGAGCGCCACAGCAGCTACTCGCTCTGTTGTGTTTCTGTAAAGCTTCCGTGTCAGACACACTGCACAGAGTGTGGGTCCAGACCAACTCAATAGCATGCGTTGGGTTACATTTGGTTTCAGCAGTGCTTGAGTCCCTTTTGATTGATGTCCTCACTACTAGCCTTTACTTTTTTCAACTTTCGTAATTATTAGCAAACAAATGGTTATAAAATAGTATCTCACTGTGGTTGTACATTGATTTTCTCTGATTAATAGTGTAGTTAAGACTTTTTAATATGTCTTTTGGCCAACTGTTTCCTCTCCTGAGAAAGGCCTATTATTTATTTTGCCTATTTTTCTATTGGTTTGCTTTTCTTTGTTAAAATTTTGAAGTGTTCTGTATATTACGATATAACCTTCGATCAAGGCCCACCCACTGGCCTGTAATCTTCCTGCCTTCAGTGTCACTGCATGTGTTTCGTGAATCTGAAGACTTTATAGATTGGTATTGGACACATGGGCTAATATCAGACTTATGCAGTTGATCTGTACTGGGTTGAGATGTTTTCTCCATACTCAATTGCTTTTGTATATAAAGCTCTTTTTTATACCCATATGAGTGTTTATGAATGTGTTTCTCCAGTCTACCCAGACTAACACACACACCCTGAAGAAGTGCACTGTGATGGACACACCACCAGCAGTTATGGTTGATTGGGGTTAGGGAAGATTGGTAGTTCTGTTTTATTTTTATTTATTTATAGTCACTAGAATGACAATGAGTAGTTTTGAATTTCGAACTTACCCAAAGAATCCGGCATTATTTCATCTGAAGAATGAAGTATCTGCAATGTGTCTTCTGTTCTTTCCACCAGATTGTCTCCTTGAAGCCTAAATAACCATAAATGATTACTGAAGGCTCTACCAATGTTGAACTACACAATGAGAGTACATAATATTGGTGACATGACCATGAACTGCTACACTCCAAAATCAGACATGCTTCTTCAAATAGAATTAAAAGCTTACAAAAGTCACTTTAAAATAATGTTTCTGCTTTTCTCACCTACAATAAACAATGTTCTATCTTTTCTCCTGTATACATAGAAGATTCTTGGTAGAATGTGCTTTTTTTTTCCTGAGTGAAGAAAGGATTATAAGTAAATGCTTTCAATAAAAACTACAGACTAGGCAGAAGAAAGACAATGGCCTCACAGTAGGCTCACCTAAGTTCTAGATCCATCGGGCCTGAGAAGGTTTTCAGGGTTATACAGACACAAAATATTAATTTTCCAAGTCACAATCACTACTCAACCAACATGAACTTGAGGGCCTCTATGCCAAGATAAAACTCAAAAATAAAAATGAAGATCCTGACTGTAACTGATTGTTGTAAAAGCATGTTCTTCTTGAGGGGATGATTGTGCAAGTAATTTTCAACAGTATCTTGCTGGGCCTTTGGATCCACATCTTTATAAACAAAAAGGTGGAGCAGCAGTATCTAATTGAAGTGTTCTGCTTTTATGATATCCTCTTAAACCACATAATACATTGAGGTAGAGTTCAGTAATACATGTGAACTCTGTCCAAAAGTTAGCAGAACAGCGTTGCTTTAAGGACTCATTAGTTCCTACCAATATCCTCTCTTTTTTTCCCCTGTATTAAGCTAATTGCAAGTATCCTCATAAGAATCTATCAACAAATACATAATAATTTACATTAAAATAAAAATTTACATTCAGGTCATCACTGTACAAATCTCTAAAGATATAATTTCCAAAAATTTATATCTTTGCTATTATATACTGCATTCGGATAATATAATAACTGGCGTTTGACTTTAAGAAATTCAAATTTGCATACCCTTGCCTCACTTGAACTTCTGTAGAATTAAAAATAACCAATTACATTTGCTTCTTTTGTCTAATAATATGTTCTGCCTCTCTTTGTAGGTATTATAAATTCATCTTTACTTATAGATTCATCTTTACCTATTACCTTCTATACGTTAAACCATTGTATGAGCAAAATTTTTAAAAATAATGATAATTTACTAGTAGGTAAATTATCTCTTTGGTCAGCTAAATATCAATTTATGGTCCTAATCAACCAATAAGCATTTTATTTTAAAGAAACATCACTTGTAAATTAGATAATTTATCAACATCTCAAATCATCTGTATTATTTCTTATTTATTATACTTATTATTTTTATTTGATGCATCTCTTTATAATAATGAGAAATAATACAACAATAAAGAATATAAAATATCCTTTTGTTGTTGTTCTCTTTGTCTAGAATCATGCCATCAAATTAGCCAGTGATAAATAATGTATGTTTATGAAGTGCTGAATGGTGTAAGAATTATAAAAAATGTACAGTTAGCTCCCATACATTTGGATATTTAAAATTAGGTTAAAGACCAAATTGAAAAATAAATCGCTAGCAAATGTATCAAAAAGCATACATACCAGAAAAATAAGTGATTATATTCATTTTTATCATTACATGGTTCAAAAAAGCCTCATATTGGTTTAGCGTTTACTAATATGCCCAACAATAAACCAAATTCAGAGATGCAAACAAATTATGCTAGTCTCTGATTTCACAAAGCTCTCTGTTTTGTGGTGTTGAAAGTCAAGCGACTGTGAAGAACAGCCCGATGCACTGGGTGGCCTCCAGACGCCACGAAGCCGGCTCATCTTTGTCCACACTCTGACCTGCAGATACCTTTACCAGGTGGGTATGTCTTGAGTTGGCACCATTTCCACTGCATCGTGCTTCCCATCCCTGCTACCCTTGATGGCTCTGCCAATGTCTCCTAAACTGTAATCCACACAGCACACTTTCTGTAAGAGGTTAATAGGCACTAAGCAAATAAGAGTTGTGTGGGCAAGTCCGGGAAATCATCTTAATGAAAGCTAACTCTCTTTAAAAAAAATACAAGCATTCCATTTGTATTCCTGCTTCCAAACCTTTTCCTCTCTGCTTACTTTCCTCTCTTCCATATTAAAGAGCTCCCCTGCATTCTTGCCTCTAGAAAGAAAGCCTCCCTTTCCTCTTTGACTCACTGTAACCCTGATCTCTTTACAAAGGATCCCTTGGTCTGCTGCGCTGACAATAGGCTGGGGGTGGGGGTGGGCAAGCACCAATGCAGGGAGCTGATTTGGGAGGTGATTACTTTAATCTTGGTGGGAGATGAATGTGCAGTCCCTGGGTGGTACATGCTGTTAATGTGCTCTGCAGCTAACCCAGAAGCCAGAGGTTTTAGACCCCTTAAAGGCACGTTGGAGCTAAGTCCTGGCAATCTACTTTCCCCAAAACCAACCTAAAAAAATCATATGGAATTGCCTTGACAGCAACTGGTTAGATGGTAGTTTGGGACAAGTTTGAAAGGCCTTTTAGTTAGAAATGTGGGGAGGCAGTTGGTTACTTATTTAGAGATGTTAAAAGGCTGACTGAAGTGAAAGTGGCCTTTTCTGGGGTCCAACATCCTTACAAAGAACAACAAAATATGATACACTGCTATTTAACCCAGCTATTTTGAACACCATGACAGTCTGTTTCACTGTGAAATAAACAGTATTCTCTGATCAATGCCAATTAGATCAGGAGAACCACAAGAAATAGCTCTGGTTTTAAGATATTTTGAATCATTTTCTTCAAAGGGTAAGAATATTAACTTATCTTTCTTCTGTAAAATCTGCTTTTAATTCACAAAGCCTCTTTCATAACATCAGTCGTTGTTATTTCTCTTTTCTAAATGTTCATTTTCCATTTTAGGATTCCAGTGTGTTTTTCCAAGTTAATTTGTAAGGGAAATTCTAACAACTTATTGTCACTCACTCAATTTTGAAGTCTTAAAAAAGTCAAAACTGTCATCAATGCCAAAAATTTATTGAGCACCTTTGAAGGCAAAGCCCTCCATTGAGCTCTGGAGGCTGCAATTTGGGAAAAAAAGACCCAACAGTGTGTGCATGGTAACCTAGTTACTTTGCAAACTGCCCAAATTTAGAGACTTGGTCTGAGATTTCCCACCCCCTCAGGATCTCACAAAGGAATACTCGTGGTACAGGGTAAATGTGTTGGGCTGCAATCCCCACGGTTAGCTGTTCGAAACCAGCAGCAGCTCCATGGGAGAAAGACTGGGCTTCTACTCCTATAAACAGTTACAGTCTCAGAAATGCGCACAGAGGCACTATGAGTCAGCATTGACTGCATGGCAGTGAGTCAGTGCCTCATATAATAATTTACAGCATAATTTGTGTCCCCAGAGTAACTTTCTGATTTAAGTCTGAATCCCCTGAAGGTTTTTAATAGATCCTTTTCTACCCTAAAAAAAGTCACTGTTACCTGTACTAAGGGTTTATTTGTCTAGCTAGCTAGCATTGGTGGACTCTGAAAGCATCATGTGTAAACTAGCTCAGTCACCAAGGGGCAGATAATATATGTTCCCACAAGTATGAAATAGCTAGTGACCCAAAAGAACCCTTCTGGCACAATGGGATAGATCTTGGCCTACCCATCACAGGGCATCCATTCAACCCTACCAACCACTCCGAGGGAGAAAGATGAGGCCCGCTCTTCCCATGAACATTTACACATCTACTCTCTTCTTTGGCCATTATGAGTCAGAATCCACTTGATGACAGTGGGGGTGGGGGGTGGGGAGCCTCAGTTCAGGCTAATGGAAATATTTGAAAATGTATGATGGCGATTGTTGAGCAATGTGGCGGACATAATTCATGTCATGGTACTGCACAGGTCCAAAATGTTGAAGTGGCAAAAGTTTTAGAGAAAAAATAAAGTTATTGCAGCCCTATAACACGTTGACTTCTTCTCCTGCCTTCAGGTCCAGTTTCTTTGGGGGATTCTTTACTTATCCTCTTTAACCAAATCCAAGTACCCCTACTATGTCATTGTGCTACGCCTTTGGCCGCTAGCGAAAAGGATGGTGATCAAAATCCACCAACTCTTCTGTAGGGAAAGTTTAGTCAGTATTCTTCTCCAATGATTTACAGCCACAGAGACACAACTCTGTTCTGTAGAGGTGCAAGACCAAGAGGAATAGGAATCGACCCAGTGGCACTGTGTTTGCTTTTGTCTTATTTCTAAATCCATTTGATCTAGCTGTTTGCCATTACTCCAGTCCATTCCAGTTGCCCCGCTGGTGGCTTGAAAGTCTAATTCAATTCTGAATTTCCCTTTGGCACTGTCTCACATCCCTCCCGCAGGGAAGGAACTCTGTGTGCCAGACACAGCCCGCCTCAGAACACCTCCACAAGTCCTACGCTCCCCGAGTTTCCTGTCCCATGATACTACTGCCTGGGCTTATTTTCTGGTGAGCTCCCTTCTCTGCATTATAGCGCAGGAAGGCGATAGGCTTTAACCTCCTTCTGATGGTGGTCGTGGTACTGCGCTATGGCTAGAGCAAACAAATAAAAAAATAAAGAATAGAAAAGACTCTACATAGAAGGTTGGTGCTTTTGCTTCCTCTAGCTCACTGATTTTGATTTTTAGCTAAACACTGAATCCTATGGCTCAATATATGAAGATTTCATCTTAGTGAGTTCGAAAATCTCAGAGTCCTAATTTATTGTCCTGAGGATGTTGCATGCATAGCTTAACTCAGAGAGCCGCTGGGTCAGCCGGCATTGGTTTAAGCAGCAGCTGTGAGAAGTCTTTTCCATGTGCTGATTTCTAGCAGGTTGAAAAATGGGGTTGGGTGGGGAGCCAAAACCCTCTTTTGAGAAATTGCCAAAGCTTCCATTCCTCCCTCAGCCATTCCTTCCTTTAATCAGAGGTCTCTCTTCCATGATATTGAAAACCAGGTTTGCTTCCCATATGTATGTGATAGCAGACCACCCTCTCTTTTCGTATATCCCCCTAC